TTTAGTAGCAAAATTGGTTTTGGAGGCGATTTTAGACTGATTCTACCTGTTGTTCTGAGAGGAGGTCATTCTGATATTGTCCATGCACTACAAGAAAATGTTGTTTTTCCCTAGTGATTTAGTGACGTGGAAATCACGTGGGAAAAAAAATGTGTTGCCAGAATATTTCACAAATTCAGTTGTGACGTGTAAATCACAAGGGAACTGTAAATTCAAAAAAGTTCTTTTTTTTCCTTTCACGTCGCAAAAATAATTTCCATTAATTTGTCAGACACATGAATGAACCGTTGCTTTGGCATTTAGTGGGGCAACTGATATAATTTAATATAGGGAACCGTTCCAACCCTATTCCCACGTCGCAAATTCTTGGAATGTTTCGACCCCCAATTCACGTTTGTTCCGACGTGGCGTTCACGTACCTTCCCACGTGTTTCCCCACGTCGCAAGTTTCATTATATATCACAGAATTTTCACCCATCTCGTTTCACTTCATTTCTTCATCTTCTTTCTTCCTCCCTCACATTTCTAGATGCTTCACACCTCCAACGAAAATTTTACAAATTTAAGGTGAAGATGATGTATGTTGTTGTGACTGTTTTAGATTTCTATTTATTTTATGTTTTTCTTTTTATTAACTGTTAATTTTTTTTCCAGATCTAATATTGATTAAGGAGTTCCATTGGAAACTTTTGAGAGGTATTTTTGCATTACAATTTGTTTATATATTTGATATATGAAATATTATTTTAGAATATTGATTAGGAAATTTTAAATTTTTTTTTGGTTAGATGTAAGTGTATATATATATATATATATTGTGTTGTTGTTGTTGAAAGAAAAAATAAAAATAATATATTATATATTTTTAATTAGAAAATTAGAATATTTTTTATGTTAGAAACAAATAATATGTTATTAGAAACAAAATAAAAAAATAGAATATTTATTAGAAAAACAGAATAAAAATAATATGTTATTAGAAACAAATTAGAAAAATAGAATATTTATAAGAAACAAAAATAATATATTAGAAACAAATTAAATATGTTATGTATTTTTAATTTTTAAAAATAGAATATTTATTATGTTAGAAAAAATAGAATTTTAAAAAATATTTTTAGTAAACAATATTGTAAATAGAAAAAATTAATATATATTTTTTAAAAATATAAAGAATATGTATTATATTTAAAAGTGTTATTTTTAAATGTATTATTCTTTGAAAAAGTATTTTTATTAAAAAATAATAAATATGTACTAAATGTGTTATTTTTAGTATACAAAACTCATTAAGTCTTTCGGAGAGCTCCCAGATACTGAGAAAGATATATGGTTTGATAAATTCAAGGTAAATTGTATTTTTATTATAGTTATGTTATTTTATAACGATTTTTTGTTATATATGTCTAACATTTTATTTGACTGTCATATAACTTGCAGGAAAGGTGTACTTGGCAGAAATTTGACGAGTTCAAAATTAAAAAAAATTTCAAAAGTAAGGTATCTAGCAGATTATCTGACATGCTCAGGAATGCTAGACAACGTTGGGAAAGAGATCAAACTCGTCCTAACTGGATAGGCGAGGAAATATTTGGTGAACTTGTTGAGTGGTGGAAGACAGAAGATTTTCAGAGAAGATCTGAACATGCTAAAAAGATGAGGGCATCTGAAGCAGGTGGCTGTCTTAGTACAGTTGGAAGTATCAGTATCGACGAACATCGTCGACGAATGGTAATTATAACTATTTTTTAAGTTTTATTTTGTATTATTATTTATTTACTTAAGCTTCATTATTTTAAATAGAAAAAGGACTTGGGGAGGGAGCCACGAATTAATGAGCTATTTGTGAAGACCCGAACCAAAAAATCGGGAGACTTTGTTGACGACCGTTCCAAATCAACCTTGGTAACTTGTTAATTATAGTTGAATTCTTTTAATTTCAAAATTACTATATAACTAAATTGTTTAAATTATATTTAATTTAATTTTTTTAATGTGTGTGTAGGAGTTGTACCAGGCCTTGCTTGCCCAATTTCTAACTGAAAATCCTCAATATACGCCGATTGGGGATGCACCGCTTGATCCACGCGTTGATCTTTATATTTGGAATTTAACAGTAGGCGAGAAGAGAGTCAATGGATGTTTTTTTGGTCTGGGGTCTTTGGCTGGCGAATATAGAAAAGGGGACCGAACATTATTTCAAAGACTCGATGATGGGGAAGGAGGATCGCGTCCGGCAGAATTGACACCAGAAATGTTGGCAACAGTGAGACAGTTAGCTCTATCTGAGGCGAGACGAGAGGCGGAGACACGCGAGGCGGCCCTAAAGGCCGAAATGGATGATATGAGAAATAGACAAAATGCTGAAATAGAGGAAATGAGGAAGCGGCAATCAATCATGGAGGCACAAATGCGAATGTTTTTTGCCTCGAAATCGAATTATTCTGCCGAAGATGATGAAGAAGACGAAGATGTATCATTTAGTGATGAGGAATAATTTTTTTTTATTATTGTCTACATTTGTGACGTGAATATTACGTGACAACTTTTATTATTATTATTTGTATTTGTGACGTGAATTTCATGTGACTAATTATGTATATATTTTTAATGTATATTATTTTAATTAAAAATTATTTTTATTTTAAATTTAATATTTAATATTTAATATTTATTTTAATTTTATAATTGTTTTCAGTTAATATTATTTATTTTTTATTATTATTAAATTTTATAGTGAAGTGCATCACATGTCACTAATTAGTGACGTGAGAATCACATGGGAAAATAATTCAACTGGTGTCAGTCAAGCGTGCAGACCAATTTGGTAAAGGTAAGTTCCCACATGATTTTCACGTCACTAATTAGTGACTTGGTTTTCACGTGGGAACCTTTTCTACTTTTTTTGTCATTTGCGACGTGGTTAATATGTCACAACTTTGTGACGTGTTTTTTACGTGGGAAAAAGTTCCCACCATTGCATTTCCGGCGTGTTTCTCCCACGTCGCAAATAGTGGTGAATGAAATGATTTTTAACTTAGTAACGTGGGAATCACTTGGAAAAATACAATGTTTCTTGTAGTGATGCTTCAATTAGCTTATATTATGAATGGGATTATTGTCAAATTGTAACTCTAACAAAAAAAAAAATGAGACTTCAACAAAAATCAAGTAATACAAGTTCGGCAGAACTAACTAAATTTTCAAAATAATTTTTGAAGTTTATAATAATTATGTTTTATTCATATTACCTTTATTTTTTTAATGTACTTTTTGGATAAAGATTTCAAAATTGAAAATTATATTAGTTTATGTTTATAATTTTTTAAATATTACCGATCCGAAAATATGGATTTAAAGTTGACAAAACGAATCTAGACGGTAACTCTTACATTCGTTACTAGTTATTTATTAAATCACAATAAATATTGAGCATATCAAAAAAATTAATCTTAATACAATATTATATGAAAATAACTATTTATAAAAATAACTAATTAAAATAAAACAATAGCTATCATTAATTACAATATAACTGTGCATGTTATTCAAAAGTAAACAAAAATATTACAATAGTTATCGATAGACATATACATGCAAAATTACCAAAAATAATGTCTAATGTTCTCTAAGATATAGTTTTATAGATATATGAGAATTTAAGGTGTTATATTACACAAACCGATAACTTTTATTCTCAATTCAACAAATTCAATTCGATTTTTAAAATACGATTCAAACATATATTTTGGAGATCTCAAACTTTTTTTATTACTTGGTCAAATCTTTTAGTTATCAATAAATATTTTAAGAAAAAATCTTTAAATTATCAATAAATATTTTTAGAAAAAATATTTTAAACTATTTAAAAACAAATAACTATTAATAATAAAACCATATAAATGTCCATGTGCGTTGTATGGAACCACGTTTAAAGAAGATATAATTTATGGTATTTAAAAAATATTATTTTATAGAAGAAAAAAAAGAAAATGCAATAACTTTATTTTAAAAAACCTTAATTTTAAATATGTAAAAGAAATTACATATAATTTTATATGTAATTCTTATCCACCAGTCAATAAATCATATAAATATACATGTTTTTTATTATAAAATGAAAAAAAGAAAAAAGAAACATTTGTCTCATTTATTTCAGTCTCTTAAAGTTTTGTAAAAAATAAAAGAAAAGAAAAAAAAAGCCAGCAAAGAACAACGCTGACATAAGATAATAATGAAACTACCGTAAAACCCGTCGTAAAAGAAGCCCTTGGTTGGAACAAACAACTAGTTTCGTCACAGACCCGCAAGGGCATTTCAGGAATTAACAAAAAAAATACAGTTTAATATTGTTTTTTCTTTGAATTCAATGTATATAAATGGTACGCTCCGTAAAACACAAACGCAAAAGCCGAACTCAAACTGCTTCTTCTCTCAAACTATGTTTCACCTTTTTCTCACTTCTCTCTGACACACTCACAAAATTCGTCATTGTTTTTGCGTTTTGCTTATCCTCACCAACATTCTTCCTGCTTCTCTTATGTACTTACACTTGTTCATTTCTTCATTTTTAATTTTTTATATTCTTATATAATTCTTTAGCTCTTTTACTTGGTTATATATACTCTTATATGCTACGATTAATTGAGGTTTTCTTTTTGTTGATTGTGATATGATTTTTATTTTAGTTCAATTTTTTTCGTTAACGGGCTCCATGACGGTGAGACTGTTTTTTGGTTGGAGAAATCTGATATAGTCCAGATGAATATTGATGTTGAATTTCAATCGTAGTTTTCGTGATTGATTATCAATTTTGTACTTTAGCTGTGAGTACTAACCGAAATTCATTGTGACTGTGTGCTGCAGCATTCCGTTCCATCTCGTCGACGATCGACCATGGCATGGTATTTTATTTACACACTCTAACTCAATTTCACTTTTGGCCTTAAATTATTATACTTTCTTCCAAATACTATGCTCATTTGCTTCTTCATAAAATCATGGCCTTGTCTGATCATCTCTATCATAGCAGGATCCGAACAATTTATGGGAGAAGAAGAGTCACTGGGGATGAGGACAAAGACAGACTGAGTGACTTACCAGAATGTATTATCCTTCACATTTTGTCATTTTTGAGCGCACAACATGCGGTTCAAACTTGTGTTTTGTCCACCAGATGGAAACATCTCTGGAAACGTATTCCAACTATTAGGTTGAGTTCTTATGAATTTAGGACTTTGAAGAAATTTTCCCTATACCTGTCTAAGATTTTGTCTCTCCGTGATACCTCAACTGCGCTACATGCATTTGATCTGTTCCGTCATCGTGATATTGAGCATCAACTCCTTAAAAAGTTTTTAAAGTTTGTTTTTTCACATAACTCCCATCTCCAGCAATTAGGAATCTCTCTGTGTGCTGATAGTGGTCTTATTTTGAGTTGTGTTTCTTCATGTCGGGCTCTTACATCTCTTAAGCTTTCACTTCACCCTAGAGGGAGGGAACTTAAAGAAACATTGTTTCCAAAATCTTTGAATTTGCCTTTACTGGCCAGCTTGGATCTAACAAACTTTGCCTTTTGCGGTGATGATAGCGGTTGTGCCGAACCCTTTTTGCAATTTACCAAGTTGAATAGTTTGGTCATTTGTCGTTGTAAGGTAATTGATGCACAAATCCTCAGCATATCAAGTGAGACACTTGTCAATTTAGCTATGCATAATAATTCATCTCTCCTTGCCAAAATCAAGCTATATGCTCCAACTCTTTGTCACTTTAATTATATTGGTAGCCACCATATTCACGAAATATGTGGGAGTGGACTTTCTTCGGTTAAAAAAGTAAATATCAAATCACTACGATTTTCAGCTTCAAAGGAGGATGCTTTGGCTCTATTTAGCTGGATGTTAAACTTTGCTAATATAGAGTCATTGACGGTTACTTCAACTGTTCTACAGGTACCTATCATGTTTTCCGACTTTATTTATACTTTCTTAGGATGGTTTTTTGTGTTTCTTAAATTGTGTTAAAATTCAAATGACTTAACTGATCTTAATTCACCCTCATTTCTTAGATTCTCTCCTTAGTTCCCGATGTATTGAAGGTTAAGCTCCGTTCTTTGCATAACTTGAAGTCATTGAAAGTAGAACTGATACAAATTGAGGAAGGATCTTTATTACTGTTAATGAAAGATGACATGTTAAAGAAAGCTGCTGCCAAGTCACCTATAGAAGCTGCGAAGTTAAGAAAGGCATTTGAAACATGTTTGGAACCACCTGCCATACCTGATGGAATAGTTGACTTCTTGCGACAAAACTCGCCGTTGGCTGAAGTTAACATCACAACAGATTATCCGAGTTCCTTTAATCTGAAACAGGTAGTTATTTTAAAACTATGAGTGAGCCGAGTGTGATAATTTTTTCTGAGAATCTAAGGTTAGATAGTTTTAAATGAAACAACCATAAGAAGAGTTTGTTTGTTACTAAACAGATTGAAGAATCTATAAAGGGTGCGAAGATTAACAGTTATCGTTCGCGATTATCTATGCGTCCCTCCTCCTCTCTTCCGCGACTCTCTGTGCGTTCCTCCTCCTCTCTTCCGCGACTCTCTGTGCGTTCCTCCTCCTCTGTCGCACCTGCTTTGGCTGCCAAGTCTGCTTCTGATGCTGCTCCTGCTTCTGCCGCCGAGCCTGCCACTGCTGCATCTCCCAATCTTCATCTCTGTCTTGGCGAAGAGGTAACATTCTTTACATGCATTTGATAGATCCCTTTTGAATTTCTATTACTTAATTTTAGGGGCCATTTGTTGTTTTCATGTTGATTTTGCAATGCCAACTGATAATGTTACTTTTTCTACTCCTAGGATGTTAAGTCATCCAATAAAGAAGAGGAGGAGAAGCACCAACATAACACCGACTCTCGACTTCAAGATAATGGGCAGTGAAGAGTTCTCATATTGCCTTCTCTGTGAACCTTTGTTGTAAGATGTTAGATAAGTGACTGAAAATATCAGTATGACTGACTTTACTGAAATGTGTTGTTTGATTTGACAAGCATTTGGTGGACACCTACAGGTTATAATGTCTTCTCTGTGAAAGTGTTATAAGTAATGTATTTTCTCTGCATTGTATTGTATTTTGTATGAAAACCATATTGTACTTTCTATGAATCATTTTATTGAATCTTGCTATAAATTTGTTCTGATCCTGACAATTCAATGGTTTTCTTAAATACTTGTATAGAATGAACCAAAAGTGTTAGAAAATTTATTGCATCCTTTTTGTAAATTCTCCACTCATCAATTCTATATCTTTCTCATTTTTTTGATGATGGAAGACTGTCAATCTTTTTCTTTAAGAATGCATTAAACACATCTACAAAGAATACCTAAAAATACAACCATGTGTAAATGCAATTTTTAAATTTACACATTTATGATCAACATTGTTTAAATACTACTAATTTTTTTCTTAAGATTCACATATTGTAAAGATTTGTCCAATCTATGATGACGTTCATTTCTAACTTTTAATCACTTAACTGTTTACTATTCTTAGTAAGATTAGATTAAATCTAATTAGCTATTAATATTATATACTTTGTATAGGTTCTTTAATGTTGATCTCACATTGTATTTACTTTGTAATCTTGTAAACAAAATAATATATAGTGCTTCAAGATTGTTACGTGGAATCAATATTCATCAATAATAAGCAAGTGGTTGTTTCATTCAAGTTTCTCTTGTTCTCTAACTCTTTAGTGTTAAAGTTCTATTTGTCTCGATCTAAAAGTATTTGATCAATTGTGCTCTGATCAAAGATTCATTACAAGTTGGTGTGATGAGCGTGAATGGATTCAAACATAACATATGTAAAGTATGAGATTGAAAAGTTTGCATGCCAAAATAATATTTGTTTATGATGATGGAAGATATAAGCATTGCTCATTCATTAGGGTGTTGAAAGGTGAAACTACTCTTGATGCGAAACTGAGGGAAAAGGAAGAAAAAAAAGATCTTAATGGATAAAGATTAGAGTGTGATTGTCTTAAGTCTTCGAGACAATCTATTGAGACATGTCTTAAAGGAGGAGATAACAATTGAAATTCGATCAAAACTTAAAAGTTTGAACATGACTAAATTTATGATAAATCATTTTTATCTTAGGCAATCCTTATATTCATTGAAGATGTAAGAAGATATAACTCTTGAATCTCAATTAGATGTCTTCAATAAATTGATTCTTGATCTAAAAAATATAAATGTGACATTGATTATGAAGATCGGACCATGTTTCTATTGTCTAAGAAAGCATGGAGTGTACTCATTGGAAGGAAAGGAAGTAGTTAGGTCAGTAGCTTCAAGTTTTGTAAGAGACGTGTCAAGAATTGAGTTGTGGCATTAAAAATTAGGGCATGTGAGTGGAATGAGTCTGGTGGAGCTTTGTAAACAAGGTATGTTATATGGTGATAAATGGGTTTGGTGGAGCTTCGTAAACAAGGTATGTGTTTATCATAAGGCCTATAGAGAAACATTTGGAGCCGGTCAACAAAGAACTAAAGGCGCCTTGGATTTGATACATGTTGATCTATGGGGACCATTTATAACTCCATCCCATTCCGGTGCAAGATACTTCCTGATTTGTATAGATGATTTCTCAAGGAAGTTGTAGATTCATATTCTCAAAACTAAAGATGAGGTTCATGAGACCTTTAAGAATTAGAAAGAAATGATTTAAAATTAAACGGAAAATCAAGAGATTTTTGTATAGATAATGGTCTTGAATTATGTTCTGATTTTCCATTGATTATGTGAATTTCTAGGCATAAATCAATTGCTAGGACACCCCAACAAAATAGTTTGGTACAAAGGTTCAGTAGAACCATACTTGAGAGAGTTAGATGCATGTTCTCAAGGGCATGTGTCCCAAAGATATTTTAGGTATAAGTTGTGAAAACATCTTATTTCCTGATAAACAAATGTCCATCTACAACTTTAAAACATGAAAACACCAGAAGAAGTGTGGTATGGTTATTTCTCTTACATATGACACTTAGAGTGTTTGATTGTGTTTCTTATGCTCACATAAAACAAGATAAGTTATAACCTAGGGGCCTTTAAGTGCATGTTCATAAGGTATCCAGAAGGTGTCAAAGGCTATAAGTTGCAGCGTTTGAAAGATGAACATAGGAAATGAATTATAAGTAGATATGTGATGTTTAATCTGTCTCAAATGGCTTATAGCACACAATAAAATACTAACCAAAGGAAAATTGGATCCATCTCCAAAAAAAATATTTTAGGTGGAGCCTGCCAACCGAGGAAGCACTACGCAAAAAAAAAACATTTAATAACGCTTTTTTTTTGTCTTTAATAGCGCTATTAAAATTGCCGGCTATTGTACATCTATAATAACGCTTTTTAAGAGCTATTAAAAAGTATAATTTTTTAATAACGTTTCTCAGAAATGGCTATCATAGACTAGTTTTTCTCAACAATTCTTTATGATGATTTAATAGCGTTTTATACAAAGCGCTATTAAAGGAAGCGTTGTTTTAAAAAAGTGCTATCGTATAATCTGATTTTATTAGCAATTTCAAGAAAAACCCTATTAAAGGCCCTTTTTTCTATAAAAAAACAAAACATTTCTAACAAAATGCGAATATCAGCAATATTACATATAACACATGATCTAAAAAAAATTTATTGGTAAAAAAATGAATTAGAAACTATACAAATTAATGTTCTTTTCTAATATTCTTCATGGTATTGATAATGAAACTTCTTTGAACTAAACTGACAACCTGCATAAAAAAAGAAATCATCTTAAGAATAATACCGTAATATAAGTACAACTTTTAAATTTCACACTACAATCCAATATAATTTCATTATAGCTACTCCAACCACTTAAAAAAAAAACCCACGAATAATAATCAATAATTGTAACAGCACATAAATAAGAAATTAAAATAAGAAAGATTCACCCCCTCGTTGAATTTGCGTTTAATTGGGGTGGTGCAATGTCATGTAGTTTAGCACCTCCTCTTGAATTCTCTAAAAGGCCTATATATCATATGAATCATTTTTTTAATTAAAAAAAACACATTAACATGCAGTAAGTTCATTAATCAATGTATACTTAGCGCACATTAATATTCATTAACCTGTCTCATCTTCGCCAGCCAAAACTTGTTCTTGTATTTCAGTTAATGCATCCGCCATTAAAGCCACAATCTGCAAGATATTTAGAAAAATACAATTTATATTAATTAAATGGAACTCCACGAGTATATACCATTTTTGGTTAGACCTCTTTTTGGGCAAAATATACCATTTAATTTTTTACTAAGTACGACTCTGCTCCGATGCTAGCAACCCAAATTCCTCTTTCTCAAGCTGCATCAATGAAACAAGATCAAACTCAGTTTAAATAATTAACATCTTGTTGCTATGAGGCATTTAATCGAACATCTAACTATCCATATCAATTATAAGAACAAAAAAATATCAATTCTTAGTCTTGGAAGAAATACCTGCGGTTTTTCTTCAAAATGTTGATTCCTGAGCTTTGAAGAGAGAAAAAGAGATGTGAAGTGAAAGAAACCCTTTTGTATAACTGTTGATTTCAATGGCGTTGAGGTTGAAGAAAAAATAATCCGATTTCCGAATGTTGAATCCTCTTTGGAGAAAGCGATTTATGATTCAGCTCGAGCTACAAGAAGCTACTTTGTGATTATTGTTGTTGTGATTGTTTGAAGAATGATTAAGAGCAGGTCACACAATAAATAATAGTATTTTAGGGTTTAAAGGAGATGATAAGGCAAAGCAAGTCGATGATTATTAGGGTTCGACTGAGTTGACACGAAATAGATTAAGGTTTCTATGGGAATAAATATGGAATTGAAAGAAGAAAATTTGAAGTTTTCCCTATGATTTCACTGAGTTTTCGCAAGCGAGAATATTGTTGTAGAAAAAATGAAGAATGCAGGATATTTTGACGGACGGAATATGGATTTTATTCAATTATTTTTTCCAGTTATAACGTTATTCTTGTAATATAATGTTAAATTTCATTTACTCTATTGAATTTGTTAAATAGCTTAGCTGATGGATATGATTTTAGCAGCTCCAATGTCGTGTGTTCTTCTTGGCACCAAAAAATTACTCTTTTTTAATCATCTCAATCAAAGATATTGCTTTTGGTATAGCGCTTTTATAGACGCGTGTTAAAGTTTTAAGTATTTGAGCACGAAGTAGAGCGCTAATATTTGTTTTTGGCATACAAATATTTTATTTTTGTTTTGTTTTTATTTATCACTATCTAAGATAGAGCTTTTCGAAAAGAGCTTAAAAAAAAAAGACTAAGACTCAATTAAAGTTTTAAGTATTTGAGCATTTTGGTATAGCGCTATTATAGACGCGTGTTAAAGTTTTAAGTATTTGAACACGAAGTAGGACCGCCTAATATTTGCTTTTAGCATACAAAATATTTTATTTTTTTGGGTTTTTATTTATCACTATCTAAAATAGAGTTTTTCGAAAAGAGCTAAAAAATGCTCGGACTCAATCTATAATAGCCTTTATGATAGGCGCTATTATACATTTACATAATTTTTTAATATATTATAACTTATAATAACGTTTATGCTAAAAGCGATATTATACATTTACAAATTTTTTATATATTATAATTTATAATAGCATCCGTAACAAAAGCTCTACTATAAATTTTAGGGTAATATATTTAATAGCACATTACATACAAACGCTATTAAATATGTTCTATTATAAATTAAATATGTAGTAGTGAAAAGTGACTAGAAAAAACTCAACCTAAGGTTGAAGATAAGACTTTCTGTTGAAAGTTCCATTGGTTAAAGACAATGCTATAAAGGTGTTGATACATTCCAATTCTCAAGCCATTTTTGTTAGAGCATACAAGG